ACCTCCAGGTCAGAATCAAGCACCTCATAACTTACCCAGTGTTACAGTTAAACCTGCAGATGTGGTACTTACCATCATGGCAGAGCCCACCAAGGAAACGGAATCTTCTTCAACCCAGCAAGGGGCCATAAGTCAGCTTGGAGGCCCGCTTATAGAAGCTGAACCTTCTCTTGGTGAGCAGGAGCAGCTGCCTCAGCCTTCTCAGTCTTACGAGGAGGTAGCACTTTCTCCAGCTGAGCAGGAGGCCATAACTCAGCTTCCAAGCTTTCCTGTGGAGGCTGAACCTTCTTCCACTGAGGAGCAGCAGCAAGCTCAGCCTTCTGAGTCTCTTGGGGAGGTTGAACCCTCTTCAGAGCAGCAGGAGGCCTCAGCTCAGTCTCCAGAATATCCTGAACCGATAGTTTTACCTCCGAGTCACAATCAAGCTCAGCATTTAATCTTACCCAGTGTTACAGGTAAGCCTGCAGATCTGCAGCTTACCATAACACAACCTACTATTGAAGTGGGGACTTCTTCAGTCCACCATGAAGTTACAACTCTGCCCTCAGTGCCAGATAATGTTGAGAAACCTTCTGAGACCCAGCAGGAAACCCCAATTCTGCCACCAGAGCCTCCAAAGACTGAGTATGTTGAATATTTGCCAATTCAACAGAAGCCTCCAGCACAAATTTTAGAATCTCTTAACAATCAAAAACCCTTTCCAATACAGCAGCAGGCCATGGCTGAGCAAGCACAGACTCCTGAGGAGGTTGAATCCTCTGTAACCCAGCAAGAGGCACCAACGCAGGCTCCAGCATCTTCTATGGAGTATATAGATAATTCTTGGCTTAATGATGAAGTGACATTTCCATCTCAGCATTTCATGTTGCCTTATACCACCGTTCATCATGTGGACCTGGGACTTACTCTAACTCCAGAACCCACTACAGAGGTTAAATCCTCAGTCCAGCAGGAGAACCCTCCAATTTCCACTGGGCAGGCTGGATTTTTCCTGACTCAGTCTAATCTTTTTCCACAACCTCTAAAACATCCTATAATGGTTGAATCTTTTCAGCAAGAGGCCACAGCTCAGACTTCAGATCCCCCTAAGGAGGTAGAATCTTCTCCAGATCTCTTGGAGACCCCAGGTGTACCTTCAGAGCTCCCTAAAGAGGTAGAACCTGCTCCTGCTTACCAGGTGACCCCATCTCAGCCTCCAGAGCCTC